AAGAGAGGGCGAAGATGGTGGGCAGAAGACCGCAGGGAGAGGGAGAAGAGGTGGGGGGAGCTCTATTGTTTCACTGAACATTCCCCAATTAAAGTTAAAATGTTCTCATAAGTTCTGTTTTTTCAGCTCTTGCTCTTCCAGTTGGTATATTCTTTCCTTCGTCCATCTCTCTCCTTAATTCAACACCAGGTTTATAACTCCAACTACCTTTCTATTTTCCAATGTTTTTCCTTTCTTCTAGGAACCTTGGTAACTGATAATATGCTTTCCAATGTGGCAAAGCGCTGAATCCTGTTTCCTGTCATCTCTTCATGTCTTCCCATTGAGAGATCAGGAGATTTTCATCCTATTGTTTTGTTTACGCTAGGAATATTTCAGCTTGACTAGACCTGTTTTCTACTTGATTTTTTTCAGTTTCAAGTTTGACAAACCCAAATGTTCTCCTTTACCAGTTGTTTCTGTCTCAGGAATTGGTTTTTCTTTGCACTGTGATACAGATGAAGCCGATGACTCTTTCAGCTCATTATCCCCAGAATGCTTTTGTACATTATTGACACAGAATAGACACCTAATAAGTATTTCTGAATTTTTATTGTTCCTCCGTGCCACAAAACAGAAATCACTTTTTTTAGCATGAAGTATATGCCCTTCTATTATCTTGCCTTGAACTGTTTCTCAAATCTTATTTCTTCCCACTCCTGCATTTGTTTCCCACACTGTAGCCGTTCACAAGTACTTAGAGGTCTGTCAACTCTCCATGCTATTTATAATAATCAACACTAATGAAAAGAAAAGGGACTTTTTAGCAGAGGCAGAACTCATTATTTTCTAAAAAATTATGCATATCTCCGGGTTAAATAGTGTCCCGCAGAAAGTCATGTCCACCCCGGAACCCAAGAACGTTTTTTTTTTCCCATTTATTTTATTGCATTTTAGGTTGTGGGTTACATGTGAAGAACATGCAGGATTGTTGCATAGGTACACACGTGGCAGTGTGATTTGCTGCCTTCCTCCCCATCACCTACATCTGGCATCTCTCCCCTTGCTATCTCTCCCCAACTCCCCACCCCCCACCGTCCCTCCCCTATTTCCCCCCAACAGACCCCAGTGTGTAGTGCTCCCCTCCCTGTGTCCATGTGTTCTCATTGTTCAACACCCGCCTATGAGTGAGAACATGCGGTGTTTGATCTTCTGCTCGTCTGTCAGTTTGCTGAGAATGTTAAGCTATTTGGAAACAGCATCTCTGCAGATACACCTAGTTAAGACGAGGTCACAGAGCATTCGGGTGGGCCCTAAAGCCAATGGCTGTATCCTTATAAATAGGCCATGGGAACACACAGAGACCCACGGGGAAGACGGTCAGGGGACAAGGGAGGCAGAGTCTGGAGTTATGCTGCCTACAGTCATGGAATGCCAAGGACAGCCAGAAACCACCAGAAGCTATGAGGGAGATTTTACCTGAAAGCCTCCTGAAGAAATCAATCACATTCTACTTCCCTTTTGAATTTTTGGCCTTGTGGGCTGTGAAAAAATAAATTTCTATTGTCTTAAGTGGTTTGTGGTCATTTGTTCTGGTAGCCTTAGGAAACTAACACAGCATGCTAAGGGAAAAGAAGAAAATTATGAGTAAAATGTCATTTCACTTTTTGAAACAACTATTATTGACAGTAAATGAGTATTCTTCCAAGATTCATACGCAGAAAAAATATGCAGCCCAGAACATTTTTGGAGACCCATGGTGTGATATGATACGATCAATAAAATCCAAATATTAACCTGCCAAAAGAGTTATTCTTTCTTTTACAGTCATTTAAAGGTAATAAGCAGAGGTCATGAGCCCTATAAAAATTAATCTATTATTTGTTGTCACTTGATACTTACGATCCATTGACATATTTAGGTTTTTAATTCTTTGTACAGATTATGGTTTGTCTCATACTCTTAATTTTACTGAACTGAAAATTTTATATATCAAGCACAAAAATTGATGGACTAAAAAAAGAACTATCTTACAAGAATAAAGAAAGAATCAAATTCATAGGATAAGTTAATACCTTAATGGTGGTGGAGCTTCTACCTGTAGCTTGAAAGGGAAAAGATTGGAGGTAAAAGAGAAAACGAAAGAACGCCTCTGGGTCCTTCTCTCCAGTTTTCAGCCCAATCTTACTCAGCTATCCATTATAGTTTTGCCCTTAAGTTAAGAAGTAATAACTTATGAAAAAATTATTTGGAGACAGGAATATATCTTCCTTGTTTTTTTTTTTTTTTCCCAACCCTCAAATCCTATCTTCCTGTCCCACAATGTGAGCAGCTACTCTTGATATTCCTTTTCTTTAATAACTTTCAACTTGATGAGTAACTTATAGGTGATAGTGATAATTCCTGATTCTGAGAATGCCATCCAATAAAAAGGAATAGAAATGGAAAGTGGGACTGGAGGAGGGAGTCAGGAGTGCTGTGGTGGCCGCCACTCCCTCTGCCACTATCCCCAGGGAAGGAAAGGCTCCACCATTTGGGAAGGTGGTTTCTGTGTCACTGGACACCAGTTCTGAGCCTTAGTTTGAGAACTCATTCCCGAATGTGCTTTCCTCCCTCTCCCCTGCCCACCTCACCTTAAGTTTAATAAATATGGTTGTACTTTTCTTACTATTAAAAAAAATATAGCCATTCTGTCTGCTAATATCTTTGAGGAGGAAGAAATCTGCCAGGGATACATGGAAGAAAGAAGCAGGGAAAATATTATGAACTCAAATTACCATTAAAAAATCTGAGTGGAATACATGAGATGTTTCATGAGTTTAAATAAAATAAAAATATGACTTGAAAGAGAAATTTGCCAAAGAGAAGGCCCAAACATTAGGTGCCAGGGAAGAGGAGACGTTTTCCATTAACTCCTCTAGGCCCAAGGTGTTGAAGAATCTAAAGGAGACTAGTGAGGAGATGACACCCAAGTTTGGGATTCTGTAACATCATTTATTTAGTTTAAAGAAAAGATTACTATGTAGGAAAGCTAAGCATTATTATTTACATTACATTTATTTTTTACAAAACAAATTCTTCAAGGCTCTTGTAATAATTGTTTATTGGTGGAAGAAAATCATAATACATGCTTGAATCAAGATTACAAAACACGTTATTTTGTAGAAAATCTAAATATAGAGACTAGTCAGTTAACTAAGGTTACTGTGGATTGCTGTACACTTTTCAAGTGTTTTAAACAAACTATTTGGAGAAAGGAGTCTTTAATATTTGTCAGTAAAATTATAAAAGTGCAGAAAAAAAGTTTTTATTGAGCAATGCCTAGATATTTGTTACATATGTCCACATTAGAATAATATTTTGCTTTTCTATAAGTTTCAGATAAACGTTTTCAGGAAAAGGCTGTTACTTTATCAGGTATTCTTGTCTCATTTTAATAAAGGTTTAAAATTCCTTTAGGCTAATTAATTTTATGATATGAACAGGATGTAGCATTTTCTAATTTAACCTTCTATCTTATAGTAGAGGAAGTATTTTTAAAAAGCTGAAAGTATGCCATTTGCTTAATTCTTAATGAACCATCTAGTTTTAAGAAAATAAGGTCACACCAGGTGAGGTGGCTAAAACCTGTAATCCTAGCACTTTGAAAGGCTAAGGTGGGTGTATCAGTTCAGCCTAGCAGTTCGAGACCAGCCTGGGCAATGTGGTGAAACTTCATCTCTTCAAAAAATACAAAAATTTACTGGGCGTGGTTGGTGGCATGTGCCTATAGCCCCAGTTACTCGGGAGGCTAATGTGGAAGGATCACCTGAGCCCGGGAAGTAGAGGTTGCAGTGAGCCATGATCGTGCCACTGCACTCCAGCCTGGGCGACAGAGTGAGACCCTGACTCATAAAAGAAAGAAAGAAAAAAAAAAAGAAAAGAAGGTCAATAATAATTGTTTATGTTATGCAATAGAAATGGAGCTAGTCAGAAACGGATGACTGCCTACTTCTGTGGCTTATATCATTCCAATAATGCTCTTTCTTGGAGTGCATTGGGAAGAAAGAGTGACCACAATTTATTTATTCTGTAATACTGAAGTCTTTTGATTTATTAACACCTTAGAGACACACATCTAGCCTGCCTGACTTGATCCTATTCTGCCCCAGTGAAAAGCATTTGAAGCACTCTGCCTTTGGCATTCTAATCTTAACACAACTGTCACTGGTTTGTCATTTAGAGAATTATACTTGCTTAATAACTGCCTTCCTTACTGGACCTCAGTTCCTTGAGGGCAGGGTCACTGTCTCCATTGGCCACTGCAAGACACCTGCAGTTAGCACTGGCCCTGGCTCAGTGAATCGATCAAAGTATCATAAAAGTGAAAAGGAGAAGATCTAACACTATGTATTATCTGTGGAAGGAAGCTTCAACTTTTATCATACTATTTTACAAATATTCTTTTTAAAAACTGACATGTAATAACTATATATTTATGGATACAATGTGATGTTTTGATACTATATATAAAAATATTTTTAATTGAACATTTCATTAAAGAGTTCAAACCTCAAAGTTTGTAAGAAACATTCTTTAATGGCTATGTTTATATATTTTTCTTTTTTGAGATAGGATCTCAGTGTCTCCCAGGCCAAAATGCAAGGGCACGATCACAACTCACAGCAGCCTCAGCCTCCCTGGGCTCAGGTGATCCTCCCACCTCAGCCTTCTGAGTAGCTGGGACTACAAGAGTGCACCACCATGTCCAGTTAATTTTTGTATTTTTTGTAGAGATGGGGTTTCACCATGTTGCCCATGCTGGTAACTACTGACCTCAAATGATCTGCCTTGGCCTCCCAAACTGTTGGGATTACAAGCATGAGCCATTGTGTCCAGCCGATTCTTAATCTTATTCTACTGGTATCAGGTTAGAGCAGCGACTGGATAAAATGATTTCCCAGCGTTCATGCTGTAAGATTATAGTAGAGCTTGCTAGATCTGTTTTTCCTTACCTCCGTCGTAGAAGAGAACTACTCTATCTCTTCCCAACATATGTGTTTGGGAGAGTGAAAGACAACATGGTAAAGTTAGTTTATCTCAGAGCACCTGGTATTTTCCATCCATTCCACAGAGAATAGTACAAAATGCAAGCTGGCTGTTTAGAGGGATGTGTTCATGTTTTCTCTAGTAGCATGCTCATAAATAAGCAATTACATTTTAGGAAGAAGGAAAACTTACCATGGGGCCAGGTGGGCCATGGGGACCTGGTAGGCCTGGTGGACCTATGGTCTGTATGTCCAAAAAATAAAAATGTATTTGGTTACTTCATTTAGATAAGGCAGTTCAACTTGAATCTTGTGCTGGGGTTCTGCTAAGACCATTAGTAGTTGCAGAGGAAGAAAAATACTGAAATAAGTGATGTGTTTGATTCTCTAGATTTAGAAATTCCCTTGTGAGAATAAAAAAAAAATACTCCAAAAAAAGTTCTACAAAAGCCAGAATAAATCAAAAGTAAGTTAAAAGAAAAGGAAGCAATTAATTACCAAGAAATGCTATAATGTCACTACTATCAAATTCAAATATTTCACTAAGCATAAGGCGGGCTCTGGAGAAACTCACAAGTATATTCTATATTCACCAAGATCTATCCATTGTTACGAGAAAACCATTGATTTTTTCCTTAGAATTAGACAGTCCTCTGAAAACCTGCTCCTTCCTCAGACATCTGAGATACTTTGTCTGTCACTATGCAAGGCTGATGAATGTTTCTTCTACAATTTGACAAACCAAGGGGTTTAAGGTCTTTGTAATGTTGTTCTGCCACCTGGCAGAGGTGGAATAGGTAAATAACAGGTCAGCATGTGAGAAGGTTCAGGAGCCATGGAAGTTCAGCTGCCATGGACTTACAGAAGGACCCCGTGGACCCGGCATTCCAGAATCTCCTTTTTCTCCTTTCATGCCCTTGGCTCCCTATAAATAACCATTAAGCAAATTTATTTCTAGTGTAAGAGACAACTGAATTTTCTCCCCAACCCCATTGTTCTCTTGACATTTTATAATATTATGCACTTGCTACAGAAAAAAGGGATTTATCTCCTTGCATTTTAGCTTAAAAAAGCAAGCTTACTAAAATCCCTAGGATTATGAATGATATGTAAAATAAAATACGGTGTAAATAAAAACTAGTTTGAGCTTGATTGGTTAAAGTTCTACAGTGTTAAATATATACTGAGTTATAAATGTTATATCTTTTATGGTGGTGTGCAATTTAAATAGCAAAGGTAAGTCTTTTAACTTAGTTTTTACTGACATTTATATACTTCCTTGTCTTATAAAAAAGCGTAAGGCAGTGGAGTTTACTGCATTTTTTAAAACAATTTTACATTTTCTCCTCCAAATTCTCAGTAAGAATTATGAGGAAAACCATAAAACACTATCACATAGAATCATACACACAGAGGACACTTTCCAGAGTAATTTGTTTTTTAATTGTCCTATATTTTTTGGCTCATTTTTTAAATTATGGTTTATTTTCTAATAACCAGTTACCACCATCTTATGCATACTAAATTAAAGTGGCCAACTATGTT